CTACCATCCGAGAATACTATAAACACCTCTATGCAAATAAACTAGAAAATCTAGAAGAAATGGATAAATTCCTGGACACATACACCCTCCCAAGACTAAACCAGGAAGAAGTTGAATCTCTGAATAGACCAATAAAAGGCTGTGAAATTGAGGCTATAATCAATAGCCTACCAACCAAAATAAGTCCAACACCAGATGGTTCACAGCCAAATTATACCAGAGGTACAAAGAGGAGATGGTACCAATCCTTCTGAAAGTATTCCAATCAATAGAAAAAGAGAGAATCCTCCCTAACTCATTTTATGAGGCCAGCATCATCCTGATACCAAAGCCTGGCAGTGACACAACAAAATAAAAAGATTTTTAGATCAATATTCCTGATGAATATCAATGCAAAAACCCTCAATAAGATACTGGCAAACCGAATCCAGCAGCACATTAAAAAGCTTATCCACCACGATCAAGTCAGCTTCGTCCCTGGGATACAAGGCTGCTTGAACAAATGCAAATCAATAAACGTAATCCATCACATAAATAGAACCAATGACAGAAACCACGATTATCTCAAATAGATGCAGAAAAGGCCTTCGACAAAATTCAATAGCCCTTCATGCTAAAAACTCTCAATAAACTAGGTACTCATGGGATGTACCTCAAAATAGTAAGAGCTAATTATGACAAGCCCACAGCCAATATCATATGGAATGGGCAAAAACTGGAAGCATTCCCTTTGAAAACTGGCACAAGACAGGAATGTCCTCTATTACCACTCTTATTCAAAATAGTGTTGGAAGCTCTGGCGAGGGCATTCAAGGCAAGAGAAAGAAATAAAGGGTATTCAATTAGGAAAAGAGGAAGTCAAATTCTCCCTGTTTGCAGATGACATGATTGTATACTTACAAAACCCCATTGTCTCAGTCCACAATCTCCTTAAACTGATAAGCAACTTCAATGAAGTCTCAGGATATAAAATCAATGTGCAAAAATCACAAGCATTCCTATATATCAATAACAGACAAACCGAGAGCCAAATCATGAGTGAACTCCCATTCACAATTGCCACAAAGAGAATAAAACACCAAGGTATCCCACTTACAAAGAATGTGAAGGACCTCTTCAAGGAGAACTACAAACCACTGCCCAACGAAATAAAGGATGACACAAACAAATGGAAGAACATTCCATGCTCACGGACAGGAACAGTCAGTATTGTGAAAATGGCTATACTACTCAAGGTATTTTATAGATTCAATGCCATCCCCATCAAGCTACCAATGACTTTCTTCACAGAACTGGAAAAAACTACTCTAAAGTTCATATAGAACCACAAATGAGCCCACATTGCCAAGACAATACTAAGCAAAAAGCACAAAGCTGGAGGCATCACGCTACCTGACTTCAAACTACACTGCAAGCCTACAGTAACCAAAACACCATGGTACTGCTACGAAAACAGAGATATAGACCAAAGGAACAGAACAGAGGCCTCAGAAATAACACCACACATCTACAACCATCTGATCTTTGACAAACCTGACAAAAACAAGAAATGCGGAAAGGATTCCCTGTTTCATAATGGTGCTGGGAAAACTGGCTAGCCATATGTAGAAAGCTGAAACTGGATCCCTTCCTTACACCTTAGACACAAATTAATTCAAAGACTTAATTGTTAGACCTAAAACCATAAAATCCCTAGAAGAAAATCTAGGCAATACCATTCAAGACATAGGCATGGGCAAGGACTTTATGATTAAAACACCAAAAGCGATGCCAACAAAAGCCAAAATAGATAAATGGGATCTAATTAACCTGAAGAGCTTCTACACAGCAAAAGAAACTTCCATCAGAGTGAACGGGCAACATACAGAATGGGAGAAAATTTGTGCAATCTACCCATCTGACAAAGGACTAATATTCAGAGTCTACAAAGAACTTAAACAACTTTACAAGAAAAACACAAACAAACCCATCAAAAAGTGAGCAAAGTATATGAACAGACACTGCTCAAAAGAAAACATTTATGTAGCCAGCAGACACATGAAAACACGCTCACCATCACTGGTCATGAGAGAAATGCAAATCAAAACCACAGTGAGATGCCATCTCATACCAATTAGAATGGCGATCATTAAAAAGTCAGGAATCAACAAGTGCTGGAGAGGATGTGGAGAAACAGGAATGCTTTTACACTGATGGTGGCAGTGTAAACTAGTTCAACCATTGTGGAAGACAGTGTGGCGATTCCTTAAGCATCTAGAACTAGAAATACCATTTGAGCCAGCAATCCCATTACTGGGTATATTCCCGAAGGATTATAAATCAGGCTGCTATAAAGATACATGCACATGTATGTTTACTGTGGCACTATTCACAATGGCAAAGACTTGGAACCAACCCAAATGTCCATCAGTGATAGACTGGATTAAGAAAATGTGGCACATAAACACCATGGAATAATATGCAGCCATAAAAAAAGAATTAGTTCATGTTCTTTGTGGGGACATGGATGAAGCTAGAAACCATCATTCTGAGCAAACTGTCACAAGGACAGAAAACCAAACACGGCATGTTCTCACTCATAGTTGGGAATTGAACAATGAGAACACATGGACACAGGGTGGGAAACGTCACACACTGGGACCTGTCGTGGGGTGGGGGGGAGGGGGTGGAATGGCATTAGGAGAAAGACCTAAAGTAAATGACGAGTTAATGGGTGCAGCAAACCAACATGGCACATGTATACCTATGTTACAAACCTGCATGTTGTGCACATGTTCCCTAGAACTTAAAGCATAATATATAAATAAATAAATAAAAAGATATCAAGGCAGAAGAGGTGAGGCAAGAAGGGGAAGGGGTGAAATTGGTGGCATGGAGGAGGAATTTTACAATGTGAGAGAGGAAATGGAGAGGGGACAGGAGGGGAGGAGACAAAAGCGAAAGAGGAAGGGAGGGGAAGAAGAGGGAGAGGAAGCCAGAAGGAAAGGGGGAGGAGGAAGCTGGGGAGGGGCGCAGAATGGAGCTTGAATCTCACACGTGACATAGCACCCTGTGCAACAGACAAACCATGTCTGGAATTTCCTGTCTGCTGAGCAACACCATTGAACCCAGATGCAGCTCTCAAGTTCATGTTCAGTCACACATGTTCCAGTCGGAGCTCTTAACTGAACTTTAAAAGACACAAGTCTAGGCCGGGAGCGGTGGCTCATGCCTGTTAACCCAGCACTTTGGGAGGCTGAGGCAGGTGGATCACCTGAGGTCAGGAGTTCAAGACCAACCTGGCCAACATGGCGAGATCCCTCTCTACTAAAAATACAAAAATTAGCCAGGTGTGGTGGCTCATGCCCCTAATCCCAGCTACTCGGGGAGACAGAGGCACAAGAATTGCTTGAACCTGGGAGGTGGAGGCTGCAATGAGCCAAGAGTGTACCATAGCACTCCACCCTGGGCGACACAGAGAGACTGCGTCCAAAAAAAAGACACAAGTCTATTATTAGTTTAAAAAGTATCCTTCTGGTGGTATTTCCCCCCCCCCCAACATATATATAAAATTGCCCTATTGTGCAATACTCTCAGAGCACTGGGGGATATTTAAAAGCATTACACTTACCAAGGGATACACCCAGGCACTTTCATCCTTTTGAAACAGGGTGTCCTCTGTGGTGCTGGACATCAATGACTGCCGGGAGATCCCTGCTTTGGACTGGATGTCACATACTCTCCTTTCTTGTCCCTCCTCTCTGCTTTCTGGCTCCAAGTCCCTTCTTTCTCGTCCCAGTTCATCTTGGGGCATCTGGTGGGTTATCTCCTGAAGTTCTCCCGAGGGCTGCCTTGCAGGGGAACTAATCTGTTGTTCCTCAGGACTGATTTGATCCAAATCAAGAAATTCAAGATCTGTGCTCAGGACCCTTAAAAGCTCATCTGCATCCTCTGATTGTAAGGAAGGCTCTGACTCGCTATGTCTCTGGGATTTCTTTAAAAAGAAATAGAAGATCATGATTCCACATACAGTAAAATATATATGTTAAAGTGTATATACTTGTTGTTGAAAAAGATTTAAAGTGGTCACAATGGAATTGTAAGTTCCAACAGTTTGAGTTAAACAGATAAACCTGAAAACACGAAAGCACAATAAACAGATTCATTGGCCAGGAATATTTGCTGTAGCTCCCAGTCCAAAAAGGGCTGGACACTTTTTTTTTTTTTTTTGTAAGAGATGAGGTCTCGCTATGTTGCCCAGGCTGGAATGCAGTGCTTGTTCACAGGCACAATCCTTCTACTGATCAGCATGGGAGTTATTAATGACCTGCTCCATTTCTGACCTGGGCCAAGTTCACCCTTCCTTAGCCAATCTGGTGGTGCCCCGCTCCCAGGAGGTCACCATATTGATGCCAAACTTAGTGTGAACACCTGAACGGCATAGCACACTATGGCCCAGAACTCCTGGCCTCAAGCGATCCTCCTGCTTCAGGCTCCCGAGTAGCTGAGACTACAGGTGTTTGCCACCATGCCCACCAGATATATTTTTATATCACTTCTTAGTCATTGCTTCCTTTCTACTGTATTCCCGTCTGATTGTTAGCTGCATCTCATCTTTAAGTCAGTTAAAGGAAAAAGCCCTCAAGCTCATCACATTTCCTTGAGCAATTTTCTTGATGCCTCTCGTGGTTCTGAAGGTCACATGATATATGGCTAAATGAGTTTCACAATCCACATGCCAGGTGGAAGACTGACAGAGAGACTTAACGTCAATTAAGAAACAAAGATTACGAGAAAGTTTTCCTAAACTCCTATTACTTAGAAATCATCTGTTTCTATACACAATTACAGATTTAGAGAACCAAACTGTACGCTTTTCATAAGCTATTCCTAAGTGGAAAATCAGAATGGACCAGATAATTAATAGAGAAAAACAAAGAGTGGAAGCAAGTAAAACCCTACCTCTTTCTGAAGCTGAACGTTTTCTTTCTTCAAAGCCAGGAACATTTCTTCCACCCTGTCAACCTCAGTCTTAGGCTTTTGCATGTCTTGCTGTAATTCTTCATGTAGATATACTTCTGATGTTCTGTCAGAATCTGGTGGTAAAGAACTCAGATTTTCTAATTTAGGTTTCAGACTTTTATAGTTATTTGTACTGCAACTGTCACTATTTTGGTTCATGTTTTTTGTCATTTGCAAATCAAACTCTTGGCCTTCTTTCATTTCAACTGTAACCTCTTCTGGGTTCCTTGCTTTCTTAATGCCTGCATCATTACTAAAGTTTTCATCCATACTAAAAATATGTTCAATGCCTGGTTTGTTATCACTGTCATAGTCTAATTTATTTTCATGTAAATGAAGCTTAGAAGATGACTGGCAAGCATGTTCCAGGGACCCAGAGTATGGATGAGAGTATGGATGGATGATACTTTTGAGACTGGGTTCATTTTGTTCAGGAAACGTCTCGAATACCACTGAGACAGACACTTCAGATGCATCTTCTTCCACACAACCAGGTATATTATTTGTCAAATTAAAGGGAATGTCTTTTACATTTGTTTTTCTCATAGAGTTATCAAGTAGTGGCTCTTCCTCAGGACAAACCGGAATTTTGTATGTTTCACGAATTTCACCAAACCTCTGCTTTAACTCATTTGTGACAAGTTTTAATTTGTTTTTCCACTCTAATTTATCTTGTTCGATCCACATTTCCTCAGACTTTTGTGCATGAGGAAGTATTGAATATACAGGTATATCCTCTCTATCAGAATCCTTAGCCATTTCCGGTTCTTGAGACATTTTCTGCAGATGCAAAAGTGAAAGATTAATTTGCTTGTTTTGTTTCTCGGGTGCCTTCTTTGTCGGGCTACATGTTTTAAAAACAGCTTTGTCCTTACGTAACAGGTATCAACAAAGAAAAATTCACAAATAATTAAAATGAAAATTTAACTGTTAAACTTTTTAATCTAGGTTTAGCTACTCCCAAATCACTGGCTTGTAACTAAGAAAGGAGGAGAAAAACATGAACCAGCAAACTTAACTTTGTCACTGTTTGTTTGGAATAAACTTAATTCGTTATGTGTTAAATCTATCAAAAACGAATTAGCAGATGATTTCTAGTGTTACAAAGGCTTCCTCACTTGAAAAGTGAGCCCCTACAGTACATTTAAGTACTCTTTCTATAGATTACTAACAGGAGTGTAGGCAATCTTTAAATTATTAGGAGCCCGAATCAACATCCATCAGAAAGAAAAGCAAATTCTTAAGTTTTAATTCAAATTATATAATGTAACATCATAGGGTTGTATGTCTAGACTATCTTCTTCAGCTCAGTTCTAACATATACTATGGTCCCCTAACAACACTAACTAAAACTTTAAAGGTAGTATTTACTAAGTTTCTGCATCTAAAAAGTTAGAAAGTTATTGTTTGTACCCTAATACCAAAGATCTCATTCTGCGAGGTACGATTCCCTTCATAGGCAGTTGGGTTGATTTCATAACCCCACTCTCACTGAACGTAGACTCTGAAGTCAATGAAAGGCCACAAGGCAGAGTACATCTTTAACCTTGGCATTAATAACTGGCAATATAAAACTGCAAAATTTGAGCCACTGGCCATGATTACTCTTTAACCATGAATCCAACTCAGTGGCCATCACTGTTAAATTGTTCATAATTTCTGTTACTTAATAATATGATTCAATAATTGATGTTACCTTCTTTATCCTGTAAGGATATTGTAAGAATGGAAGAGCAAACAAAATTCTGGAATGTTTGCCTCTACTCCAAGCGTAAATATTATAAGTTATGATAGATTCTAACAATATTGTGTTTTATAACTAGTTTAAATGTATTTAAAATTAAATATTAAGTAAGGATCTATTGATTCTCAAAGGCTAGTCTGAGAGGTAATTTCATTTGGGCTATCTTACATTATTAAAGCAAAAAAAAAAACCAGTATTAAATCAGAAATTTAGATTTTAATTTAAATGTTTCCACACCTGTGGCTGCTTATTTTCATGTCCTTTAAGTCTTTCTTGCTCTTCCTCTGATGTCAGCTCCAAGTCTTGTTCTGCTGTGAAATCCAAACATTCAGTTAAATTACTTAGAACAGTTAAAGACATAGTCTTTATAAAAACAGATTTTAAATTACATTTCATTTTATTTCATAAATTGAGAGTTTAAATGAAGTTTAATCTTTAGTGGATACTTACTTCTTTAAGAAATACTTCTAATTCTCCAAAACTTCAACAAACCACTTTCTGGGAGATACTAGATGCCACCAGGTTAAAGAAATACAATCATCTTGAAGATCCACTCACAGATTCTTCCACCCAGCATCAATGAACAAAGCCATCACAAACAAAACACATTTTGGAATACAGTAGCAATATTATTAGGCAATGCTGCATACTGTTCTCTACTTCATAATAGTACCTTATTAATGATTTCCAAAATGACTGTGGACACCTTTATCGGTGTACACCCTCTTCCTAACATCTGAAATGTTTCCCTGTAATATTCTGACAAATGTATTAATATTTTCATCTTTTAAAACAACTTTTAAAACAGACTGCTAAAAATAAATAAATAAAATACAATAAAATAAAAAACGGATTGCTAGGTGAAGTTGACCCTGATCCTGGCTATCTTTCCCCAGGTAAACAGGTATCTAGGTATCTCCTTCCCTGGGGCTGCCCTAGAACTTTGCTGATTTTTCTACTGCATCTCCACCACCCAAACTGTCAATTGCTTTAAACATCTATTCCCTTTGCTCCTTGACTGTAGGGAACAATCTTGAAAATTATCTTTGTACAAGGAGTCATTATCTATTTTACTCAGCAATTATGTATTGAGTCTGGCTACGTCTTAGGCACTAGGGTTTAAAGAGTGAAAAGAAAGCATATCAGAGATGACTTTTCTAGAGATCCTGCCCAAGTTGAGACTTAAAGAGTGAGGCTAGCTAAATTAGAAGGGGTAGGGGGTAAGAAAGAATGAGAGCATGACAGGCAGCAACAAATGGCGGAGAGAGGCCTGAAAGAGTATATGTATTTGCCTACAATCGAGGGATGAGTGAGCAGGACCCGACCAGCAGTTCAGTAAGGCCAGAGAAAGGGCACACAGGGGAAAGGGCTAAAGATGGAGAGCTGAGCGGAAGTCACATTATGAAAGCCTTATGTATAATTTTAAGGTGCTTGGACATTAATGTTCGCAAGAGTGGTCCCTGGTCCTATGTGCATTGGTAATAGACCACTGTCAATGCCAAAACCAACATCCCTAGTGAACACATTTATTAACACAAGGTGGTAGCTCATGTGGACACAGGCAAGAAGATACTATGTCTCAAATTCTCAATGATTCTCATTAATTACTGACTTGGAAAGTCGATTCTATAATACATAAACTCATAGAAACGATAGGAAGTCACTTAATATTTGCTTTTGGAAGGTGTTTTGTTTTGTTTTTTGGTTTTGTGTGTGTGTGTGTGTGTTTTTATTTTATTTATTTATTTATTTATTTTTTGGAGACAGTCTCCCACTATTGCCCAGGCTGAAGTGCAGTGGCACAATCTCGGCTCATCGCAACCTCTGCCTCCTGGGTTCAAGTGATTCTCCTGCCTCAGACTCCCGAGTAGCTGGGACTATAGGCATGCACCACCACGCTTGGCTAGTTTTTTTGTATTTTTAGTAGAGACAGGATTTCACCATGTTGGCCAGGTTGGTCTCGAACTCCTGACCTCGTGATCTACCCACCTCAGCCTCCCAAAGTGCTGGGATTACAGGCGTGGGAAGGTGCCTTTTAAGTTATAGCGCATATAGTTATAACTAACAGCTGTGAATTCAGAGCTATGAAAATAAAGCAAAGAAACCACATTGTGTTTGAGTCAGCAATCTTTAGGTCTCTACTGAGTTATCCTAAATATAATCCTATGTTAGTCCCTAAACATACATAGTCCCTACTTTCTAAATATAATCCTACTTCCTAAAGAAAACCATGCTTTCCCCTAATTCTCTGTTATCTAGATGTTGCTTTGGTTAAAGGAAGTTTACAAATGTCCTGCCAAAAGGTATTCTGTTCAGTGCAAAAGGAAAGTAAACACAAAGCACATTTTACCAGAAAATGATTTTTTTTAAGTCAGAACTATAGCACTATGCAGCCAAGCAGAGGCACTCTAGGACTGAATTCTCTATACTTCTTTGTTACCTTCTTTGCTCTCTTTGTTTTCTGGTAGCTGTGATTGGCACAGGTCATGGAGACTATCATTCCCCGAGACGTTCATCTTTTCTTGTTCTGTTAAGTTCATCTGTCCCAATTCTTTGGTTGCTGACTGATTTTCAGGCATTGATGGTGATACAGATGGACACTGATCATCAACGTTCAGAATCTTGGATTTCTGACAAGTCTTATCACTAACGGTCAAATTAGTAGGATGCCAATCTGAAAAATCCGAAAAGGAAGTTTTCATTTATTAGGATGTAAATAACACAATAATTTGACCAACTTGTGTACATGCTTTCTTCACAGAAACAGTCCCACGTCCTGCTCTCTCCCACAAACACATTACGCATTTGGGCTTATTATATTTTATATGTCCTATGCTGCAATTCATTCAGAAAAGTTTAATTGACTATCATCTCTCACTTTTCTACATTTTTACTGTTTACTATTACTTACTTTTATTCACTCAGCAGTCTCTATTACATATTTTGCTTTCCATTAAGATATTTCATGGATATAAATTTTTTATATACAGAATTTATGTCTAACCATTTTAAGCTTAAATATACATGACAGCACTATGTGTATGTGTTGTAGAGACAGAGGATTTATAAAAACTCATAATAAATATAATTTTAAAACTATTTTAATTATAATGAGATGGTCTTTCCTCAATGCACCACTATCTTCAGAATTTACTTTCAAATACTTGGATAAACTTCATACATTTATTTGCAAAATGAGAGCCGTAAGGGCCCTAACTGTTCCCATGTAAAAACAGGACTAGTGTAGGACCACACTAGATCCAAAGAGCACACAGTACCATGCACACAGTACCATGACACAAGAAAGGAATATATATATATATATATATAAAATACATATGTTATGTATAATATACATGCATTCCTTTTTCCTATATAAACAAAATTGTGGGGATTTAAATTTTTTTTAAGACAAGTGAAAGAAAAAAAGCCAAAAACACAGAAGTGAAACGTTAAAGTCCATTTCATCATGAAGGGCGCATTTATCCACAACCACATATGTGGTTTAAAATGTTGGGTCTAAATTGTGATCTGAGAATCCCTGGAGTTCAAGATCCAGGCAGGGGGTCCAAGATGTCAAGTAATACAAAATGTTATTTGCCATTTTCACTCTCGTTCACTTTCAAGTGTACAGTGGAGCTTTTCATGACATGGTGTGTCATAACATCATAGCGCTAATGGTGACTGGGTCAGAGTTCTAAAGGCTATTGGAATGTATGGCTGTGCATGCTCGTTTTTCAAATATTTTAGTTTTTATTTCTAAAACAGTAAATATCAAAAGACACAACCGACTTAAACAAAAGCTCTTTGGAATCTGCAATCATTTTTATTTATTTTATTTATTTATTTATCATTATGAAGAGACTTTAACTGAGATCCAGTCATTTAATAGAAAACCAGAGCTTCCTGTGTCAATAAGGACTGATCTCAAAAATGTAATGTGTCCAGAGAAAAGAAAGTTGCAAACTTTGTAGAGTGTACAACAATTTATATATACTTTTAAGACATGAAAACAAATTCTACATGTTATTTGTGACCATATAGATATGTAATAAAATGTTTTAAAAGGGAATGGTCATGATAAATGCTTAATTCAGGGTGTCAGTTACCTCTAGGCAATAATATTTAATCATATAAAAGGAACTCCAGGCCAAAAAGTTTCAGAATCAGTGTTTTAAATGACTGTGTCCACCATATAGTTATTAAGGAGTGATTGTTTTCCTCATTTTTGATAATCAAAGATACCACCCCCCGCAACACACACACACATGATCTGCTAACCAGAATATCTGACTGGCTTAAAATCATCAGTATAGCCACACTATGACGAACTAATCAAACTTAAAAGCACAAGTCACATGTTGGCAAGTAAAGTTTGTCTTATCTGATAAGTTTTGGTGCTGCACATTCACCTTATATTCTTTCCACCTTCCTAATATCCCACTCCTCCTTTTTCTGAAGTATTATCTCATTTTACCACCCTCCATCATATCCACCTGCTTCTTTTCCCTTCATTTACTCCCTATACTCTCTGCCTTCCACATTCTTTATTCCCCCCTTTACTCTTGTCCTCTTCCTTCTATCCTGACACTGCATATCTAGGGTTCAGTACTATCCACAGATCTAGGCATTCACTGGGGGTCTTGGAACATATCCCCATGGATAAGTGGGGGGAAACTGTACATTTGGTTGTGTAGGTCTACGGGTGCTGTGCTATGTTATATGGTAAAACACAGGGAAGAGACCAGGGACAAGGATCTTTGCAAAGACTTTTCAGCTGCCAGTGGAGAGAAAAGCTCAAGGGAGATCAATGTACTCACTCTCACTAATCCTCTTCTGGGGCAGATGCTGGTTAAGTTTACTTAGTTCTAGCTGTTTTCTCTAGCACAAACAAGGCTCAAATTCACCTACCATTTTACCTCCCATGGAAAGAACCACTGGAAAGATCACTCCCTTAAAGAGCTTATTCACTCTGAGCTGTACCATTCATTCAGAGAGAAGCTTAAGAAGAAACACTGCCATGGTGGTGGCAGGTTTCCAGGGAGAACTACCTGATATGAAAAATATATATGAACAGAACTATCAGCTCACTCAAGCTGCCAGAATGTGCCAACAGTTGTCAACTCTCTCTGGTGAAAACAAAATTATTTTTCACTTCTTGTAAAGCAAAACACTGGTATTTCTTATGACAGAACATCTAGTTGTAGATGAGCCATGTTATAATAATATAAACTTTTCAAGCTCATCCCTAAAAAGAAAAGAACCAGTGAGGAACGTATGTATCCACCTGTAGTATTCACTGCCTGATCTTCTTTTTAAGTGCAAGGTAAGTATGCAAGACTTTGTGATTCCAGTTTTATAAAGTCCAGCTCTTGAGATTACCCCGTCCCATCATTAGAGTCTATCTGGACCCATCCCCTAGAGCACGATGGTCCAGTTAGTGCTCTGCAGTACTGCATGATGTCATTTTTCCCCACTCTCCCCATTACATGGCAAATGTCTACAGAAATCACGCTTTCTCAGCATGTCAAGTCATATGCCATCAGCTCCTATTCTGATGAAAAAAAAAAAAAATGAGGAAAACAAAGGCAAGGATAAACAACATTTACAATGACAGAATCCAATTACTGTGGAACTTTATTGTTTAAGTATTCAAAAAGATATCCACTGTTTTATTCCAACTATATGACTAGTCTGGAAAAAGCAAAACTATGGAGACAGCAAAAACACCAATGGTTGCCAGAAGCCAGTGGAGAGGAAGAGATGAAACGGTGGAAGACAGAGGATATTTGGGGTAGTGAAGCTATTTCGTCTATGATACTACAAGGGTGTATACATGCCATTACACATCTGTCCAGCACCATAGAATGTACAACACCGAGAGTGAACCCTAACATAAACTGTGAACCTTGGGTGTGATGTGTCTGTCCAGATAGATTCCTCAACTGTAACTCTGATGAACTCTGATGGGGGGTACTGATAATGAGGGAGGCTGTTCATATGTCAGGGGTCATGGGGAGTATGGAAAAATCTCTGTACCTTCTCAATTTTGCTGTGAATCTAAAACTGCTCGGAAAATAGTGTTATTAATTTTAAAAAACATACTCACTGAACTTGCTATTACCCTAAATTATAAAAAGACAGAGTCACCTTGAAAATTGCAGATCACTAAAGATCAAGGTAACAGAATATGAGTACTATCTCCCAAATTGAAGCATATAAAAACACATAAAGCAATTAATTTTAATTGCATACTTAGGCAAAAAAAATCGATAAAAATGATTGAATATCTAATCTTATTTCATAATTATAAACAGGGATTTAATGCAATATGAATCAAAACTGGTCCATCCATGTAAATAAAATGAAAGATAATTTTTATCCTAATTTTAAATCAGAGCTTATTATGCCTATTTTATCCCACAATTTTACTGAAAGGTTAATCAGGTAAGAAGGAAAGATTATAATTATTTAATATTGCCATAGTAACTTATGTACAAATACCTGTTAAGTATTCACCAAATGTCAAAACTGTAAGCAGCCTTGCTACTTAATATGAATGATGTAACCGAAAGCAGTATCATGTTATGGTCTATCATATTATTTGCTATTATATTACATAAAATTTTAAGGTAACATCAAAAATTTAGTCAGGGACATAGCTTCTGGGCAGCAAAGATTTCATATAGCAGACAAAAGACATCCATCCTTAGAAAGGCTTGCTTGCGAGGCTAGTCCTTGGCTGGTGTTTGGGACCTTGAATTTGATAGGGTTCCCGCCATTCCCTAACTTAGAAGAAGGAAATGGCTCACTGTGCCTAAACTGTTCGTGCAAATGTGGTTTACTATGAACAGTTAATTTCCTCCTGGGAGTCTAGAATTTTGTCACATGTGAGGGAGAGGAGAGGTTGTCTATGTGACTAGCCTCCCTGGAAAACATGGGTGCTGAGCCTCTAATGAAACTCTGGTAAGGTAGACAACTTTGCACATGTGTCATCAAAATTTGAGGCTGCGGGACCTAAGCGCATCCTGCTAACTACACAGGCGACGACTCCTGTAGCTTGTGCCTGGCTTCCTCCAGACTTTGACACATGCACCTTTTCCCTTTTCGAATTTTGCCTTGTGTCTTTTCACTGTATTAAATACAATAAATCAAAGCCCCGAGTATGACTGTCTGCTGAGTCCTCTGAGTCCTGTGAGTACTTCTCAGTGAATGACCAAACCTAAGGCGGTCTTGGGAACCCCTGATACAACTGCATTATACAACTTTTTTTATTGTTTAAGTTGATGTGTTACATGTGACTACAATCAGAAGGTTATTTCACAGAATATCTTTCCCTAATCTGCTTATTGTTTATTTTTTGACATTTGCCTTGGAGATTCCTGTACTTCTATATCCACTGGACTAAAAGCATTAAAAATGTATGAAACAATGATGTCAGAAAATAATTTTAAAAAGCAACAATCCTATTTTAACCCAATTAAGAAATAGAAAATCTTGATGACTGACAATATGTTCTACAGTATAAAAGTTTCTGGAACAAAAAATTAAAAGATCATAGTCAGTTTTCTCCCACTCAGTAGGGTTTAATTCATTTTTACAATAATCGTGCAGCAGGTCACGTGCGGCGGCACACATCTGTAGCTCCACCTACTTAGGATGCTGAAGCAGAAG